AACAGATTAACTTCTCTCAAATCTACTCCCCAGATTAAATGATTGTAACAATCAAATGGCTTTGAGGCTTTGCATAATTTACTTTTTCTCACTCCTTGGAAATTCTGTCTTTGACTTTTTATTCCTCTGTTGGTCTGCAGCCTTGAAGTATTATTACCCTGTAAATCGATAAAGATGATGTATGAGGCGTCCACTGTTAGTGGTATAAACCCTTCTGTTTTCTGTGATATATGAGGATGTATCAAAATGAATGGAGTACCTATTTACTGACTTCCTTTATAGTGAAAACAGACACACACAGTACAACAAAGCCAGCTACTTAGTAATACCCTTAATGTGGGGTATTTGCAAACGTTTGCTTTTATGAGATGTTGTCGGCAGGCACGACACTTTGATTGAACACTTCAATTTCCCTCTCAATGTTTCACCGCATCAGTGGCCATCATACAGTAACATTAATAAAGCATATATTTGATATGACTGACACATGTTAAATTACACACCACCCAAATGAGGTTTGATGGCCAATTCAGACATTATCAGGGCAACACTGTGATGGATGCGCAGAGCAGCTCATGCTCAGTCTAAAAATCACTATTCCACTGATCAAATCTGCATCTTGCTCAGCTTTTGTGTTTGTGCTCCTAACTGAATGCCTGTCTACCCAGGCCAGGTGGTTGTGCGATCTATATCTCTCCTCACCATCGTTATTTTCCTTTTGAAGGACCCTCTGCATTTGTGTATTCATCACTCTCACCTGGGGTTTGCCTCAGTGAGATAAATGCGTAGGAACGGATCATTAAACAGAGCTTTGGTCTGTTGAACTGAAATGGAAAAATAAGATTAGAGCTTTATGAGAATGTAAATAGCATATCATTGTTCACCTGGATATGATAGAGATTTGAGGTCCAGCTGTTGCTCAAATAGTGACCATCACAAGTTATTATCAAGAGCTATTTCACAGAATAATATTAATTGAAAGATGCAGAGAAAATGTGTAGTAAGTGAATGCTTTAGATGGTCTTATGTTTTTTTGGGTTTCCCTTTATTGTTCTTTCAAAGGTTAGAATCCCAAAGCTCCCTCCATAGAGAGTTTCTCTCTCACACACTCGATTCTACTCCTTTGTTTTCTTCTGTCAAATAGAGACATCACTACGTAACCCTCGCTCTTCTATTGACTCTTCTTACTGTTCTCAAGGCCAGAATCAATGTCTCCTATAGCTATTTAAAAATGTAATTATCCTACAATCCAGCCATATTACAAATACATTGGTGAAACTTTTAGGCCCAAACAAGTTCCCTTTCCAACATTTCAAGATGTACTGTAGTTACTCCATTGTCATTCTACTCATGAGTTGCGGCTGCCAATCAATATCTTATTATTAAGCCTCATCAACCTCACTCTCGATGCAACTATCCTGATGCCAGCGCCAATATATGCCAGGATTCCAATACTGGCTCAAGAGTTTTACACAAACAGCCGAGTTTCTCCTCCCCCCCCCCCTCGACACTCATAAACTCATTACTGTTTTTTTATTGGATTCCACTCGTTTCTCAAATGAGACACTTATCTTCCAGAGACAGGTATGAAAGTCAATACACTTTGCAGTTTGTACACACAGACTGGTACCAGGGACTTTGAGTGTGTTCGCGCTGAGAAAATGTTCAGTGTAGTAATATTACATTTGGGTTACAGTGGAGGTTTGGTGTCTAATCCTGTGTTCCACCACGGTCCCCACTGGCAGGGCTCAGGCTGTTCATGTGAAGGGCAGAGCCATGTTTCAAATCAGCAAGTGTCCCGATAGTCTTCTCATAGCTCTGGTAGTATCGTCCCTTTCCCCCGCCTTTTGCTTTGATGTGGGCCCTCCTTCTAAGGCCACCAGCGATGGGGGAATAGCCTTTCATATGGGAAATGCTGCTCAGTCTAATCCGCCGAAATATGTTTTACTATGACCAATCCCCTCAACGTATTGATGTTGATTCAAAAGAAGAAAAAAGTTGAGGGCAGCAGTTTGTCTCCCCTAAGGTTCTTTTCTGTTTTCCGGGTGGCGCGGTCAAGAAGAGACTGTGAAAAATATTGGAAGAGGAAAGGAGGAAGGTGAATTTTCCTCTGGAAGTTAATGAAAGTCCTTGAAGTGTGGCAAGGGAAGCTGTCACCTGCCCTGGTGATAGATAGCAGGCTTACTATTATTAGCATTCCCAGCCCCAGCCTAGAGTTTTATGCCTTACTAGAGCCATTTGTTGATTAATTAATCAGGTAATGTATGCTATCTGTGCTACAAAAGCACCCACATATCTCTCTTGGCCTCTCCTGGGCACTCTGTGCAACCACAGAGCAGGATCCCTACCAGGCCACAGCACATTCAAGAAAATTACAATTCCAAATCAGCCACTGTAAAGAGAAAGCATATACACAAAGGTCCTGGCTGCTTTTAATGTAAAGTAGAATAATAAACATCCAAGTCAGCCTTGTCTGATGTAATTATTTGTAGCTTTAAACTGTCAAATAAAGCTCCGCTATGAGGAAGGTAAAATAAACTAGGATTGATGCAGGGCTTAATGATTTCTCCTGTTTCTCTGTGTACAATTGAAAAGGGCCGCACAGAAATCCCACGTGGAACATCCTAATCAATGTCTGTGTGTACGATACAACAACATCCAGTCACGTTTTGAAATACAAACAATCAATACAATTCCAGTCCTTTACTGTGATTATATTTATGGACTTTCTTATTTCGTCCCCTCATGCACATATACTTTCATATATTGCCTTGTCTTAACAATCATTGAATTGGTGCCAACCTGACAAACTGTTACCTAAAGAAATGCTGGATTTGTTTGCTTATCATAATACTTGTAAATATGGTGTTCCAATGGTTATTCCCCATATACACTGTGCACATACAGTGAGGTAAAAAAGTATTTAGTCAGCCACCAATTGTGCAAGTTCTCCCACTTAAAAAGATGAGAGAGGCCTGTAATTTTCATCCTAGGTATACTTCAACTATGAGAGACAGAATGGGGGGAAAGAATCCAGGAAATCACATTGTAGGATTTTTAATGAATTAATTGGTAAATTCCTCGGTAAAATAAGTATTTGGTCACCGACAAACAAACACATTTCTGGCTCTCACAGACCTGTAACTTCTTCTTTAAGAGCCTCCTCTGTCCTCCACTTGTTAACTGTATTAATGGCACCTGTTTGAACTCGTTATCAGTATAAAAGACACCTGTCCACAACCTCAAACAGTCACACTCCAAACTCCACTATGGCCAAGACCAAAGAGCTGTCAAAGGACACCAGAAACAAAATTGTAGACCTGCACCAGGCTGGGAAGAGTGAATCTGCAATAGGTAAGCAGCTTGGTGTGAAGAAATCAACTGTGGGAGCAATTATTAGAAAATGGAAGACATATAAGACCACTGATAATCTCCCTCGATCTGTGGCTTCGTAAGAAGCATTTCAAGGTCCTGGAGTGGCCTAGCCAGTCTCCAGATCTCAACCCCATAGAAAATCTTTGGAGGGAGTTGAAAGTCTGTGTTGCCCAGCGACAGCCCCAAAGCATCACTGCTCTAGAGGAGATCTGCATGGAGGAATTGGCCAAAATACCAGCAACAGTGTGTGAAAACCTTGTGAAGACTTACAGAAAACGTTTGACCTCTGTCATTGCCAACAAAGGGTATATAACAAAGTATTGAGATGAACTTTTGTTATTGACCAAATACTTATTTTCCACCATAATTTGCAAATAAATTCTTTAAAAATCAGACAATGTGATTTTCTGGATTTTTCTTTTTCTCATTTTGTCTCTCATAGTTGAGGTATACCTAGGATGAAAATTACAGGCCTTTCATCTTTTTAAGTGGGAGAACTTGCACAATTGGTGGCTGACTAAATCTTTTTTGTCCCACTGTACATATTGAGAACCAGAGTAATACTGTATATTGCACATGGAGTCATATTGGCTTCCATCTCCCTGTGCAACATGGCCATCATGTGCCTAAATATCTGTCTGTAGTACTTCCTTCTTCTGTATCCTGACACATCGCTCTTACTGCACAGCTGGCAACATTGTGGAGCGGCAGGAAATGACATCATACTTTTATGATATTGCCTGTCCTGTTCTGTCTCATCAGAGAGTTTACCCTTTATTTCTAGACTCTGTGCACATGTGTCAAGTTGTTGTAATAAAGTGTGTGTGTGTGTGTGTGTGTGTGGCCCCTGCACAGTACTCCCTGTCAACTGCATGCCTCCTATTCCTCATCATTTTCTCACACCCCTGTCAGCCCGTCATTTATTCGCCCTGCACCGGGCTATGTGGACCCGAGGAATTTACCATCATTGGCTTGGCTTATTCTCACCTCGCTGTAAAGCTGTAACTGATTTACTGCCACTGGTTTGTCACTCCCGTCATTAAAATGTAAAAGTTTGCGACACTGCATAGAAAGTTACAAATGATGCCGGCGAGCTCGGCTGTTTCCTCCACTTACATACTGCCTGGTTGCAGGTAGTTTGTTCCCTCCTCGAAAACTAAATCATGAGCTGTCACTGCTCCGATCATTCTAAGTAAACTCCACAGCTCAGGGAGGAATGTGGAGCTGATCCTCTTTTAAAAAGAGCTGGATTTTCTGCCATTTTCTACATTTCAGACACACTGAATCTTTCTGCTGTCCTGCATGCGCATCGGCAGGGAGGGAATTCTGTTATCTTTTGATATGGCTTGATGCATTTTGATTGCATTTATATGAAAAAGGCCAGGTTTTTTCTTTCATTAACGAATGGGAGCCTGGGGAGACTCCTCCTGTGCTGTCATCCCTCTGTAAACCCCACCTGAAGATTTTGACAGTTTGACACTTTAATTTCCTACCGAGTATTTCACCTGAATTTCCCCGGACAAAGAAGAGACATGCTGCTGTGGAAAGAAAAATATCCATATTAGGTAGGAAATTATTAAAGTCGGGGCCTCAATTAAATCTTCTCTGACTTCCCTTTAACTCAGGTTTGGAAAACAGCGACCAGGAGACAAGATGGAGAGGAAGGGCTCCAGTAAATCTAAAGCTGAGGACATGCAGGCGTCAGAGGACGAGACCCAGCGGATGAGGCTGGAACAAGAGAGGTGAGTCTTGGCTCGCTTAAAGCTCAAACAATTAGGACCCAGCTGAACTAAGAAAAAACCCACTGCTGACCAGAAAATTAGCAAACTAACTAATTAGCAAAATGGCAGAGCAAGGTTGGGAAGTTCTGGGAAAGTACTCGGATGTCAATTTGTCAAATGTCCCTTTCTTTTATATCAGTACATTAAATAGATCATGTATGGATTGTTGTTGGCCGTACCATTCAGAGGCGCTGACCTCTTAATGGTGCTCGTAGGCCCCTGTGGATTTGGCATGATTGAATGGTGCTCATTATAATAGTGGAATCGATATAGCTCTGCATTTGTCTTCTCCTGCAGCTCGACCAGGTTGTTAATCGCTCTAGAATACGCCTTCCTTCTAATCCGCCCCTCTTGGCTCTGTGTCCTCTGGTGTTCGTGGACATCATGACGTCCAGAAGAATAAGGCGAGGCATTGGTTTTGCCGCGTGCACCTCATCCCTCAAAGACAAGCCCCATTTAATTCTCTCCAGCAGCGAAGACAATATTGGTGGCAGGGTGAATGAAAAGACAGCTTGCTGCCTCCATTGTTTTCAAGCAGCCAAATGAACTCAGTAATCAAACTGCCATTGGTAATGACAGCTAATTGAATAGAAACAATAGAGCTTGATACCGCTCCCTCTTAAGACGAAGGGAGAGAAGGATGGATGAGAGAAGGATGGATGGCCGTCTCAAATGCACACAAACACAAACAAGTGCACACGCAACAAAAAGGCTCACAAAGGCCCTCTCCCTTGCTGAATGGAACATCTGGAGGCCTTGCTCAAAAAGCTGTAGCACATTTATTTTTGGTATTCAACTTTCCATGATGGTCCTCTGTGCTGAGGGTGCGAGCGCTTCTGGCTGAGGGCCCAACACATTTCCCTCAGTGCACCCTGGGGACCGGTGGGCCTGGCTCTCCATCCAGATCTGTCCCCTTTGAGGAGCTCCCAAACGCCTGTCAAGCTGAGCAGCAGAATCAACACAGACACACAGCGGGCATGAGATATGTAGAGTACATGCCTCTCCCCCCAACACACACACACACTATTTAAATCCAACTTATTTTCTCTCACTGCTGTCACCCAATTTCTTTGTCTGCTACTTGGTCTTGCAGCACGTTCTCATTCCCTGTCTTGTTTGTGTCCGTTCTGCATGTGTGAGCTCCGGTCCTGGCTCCTGGTGCAGGAGGGCAACCTAATTCTTTCTTTTTGTACCTGTTCCCAAATCCCATCACTCAGCCAGGCCAGGATTGTCCCTCGGTTAATGGAAAGGGTGTCCTGAGGGAAATCGTGCTGGGTAATAATAAACCAACCTGCCATGAAGACAAGTCGATATTCAAAGCATTAGGGTTCAGCAGGACGACAGCTCAGAAATCCATTACTTCTTGTATTTTTTTGGGTATCACTACTGTTTTGCACTCCCAAGGTGCTACGTTTGATTGTCTTAGTTCTCTGCTCAAGGCACATGCTCTGATTGATTTCCATGCTGACACTGAGACAGGACCATTTCAGATTGCCTTTATGAAATTATGGATCGGACCGTAACGGGTTGCCGACGCTGGCAATCGTCAGCACGGCCCGGGATGGGATCCAGCCAAACTCCCGGCGCGGCTGACATTAGCGATCATTAATTGAAGCAGACGGTTTTGACAGGGGCTTTTAGTGATTCAAAATAGGAGTCAGCGCAGAGGTGAGACAGATTAATTCATAAAACCTGCCCTTTTTAGCCTGCAATAAGGCCGCTACGGTTATATATTTAAAACTCTGACCTTGATATGATTCATGCAATTTATGGTTTGGCTTGCGGTCCTTGCAGACACAACCTCCTTTATTTTGATTAAAAATGTTATCCTCCATTGATATCTTGTCGGCCTGTTATGGATTGAAGATGATGGAGAAGAGTACATTAAGTTTGACTTCATTGCCAGAGCACAGTGCAGTGCACCCACTTGATGAAGAGCGGTTATCAGCAGCATTTGTTTTGCCAACGTTTGGAAGGTTTTACAGAGCTCCTGTGATTGACTGTTTCATGTCTCATCAAGGCGACATTAGAACCTGTGGTTACTAGACTGATCGAAATCTTTGTTCAGCACAGCGATGGCAGCCATTACGCTGGTCTCTATGCCCGTGGACAGCACCCAAGCCACCCCTATCTGATTGGCTCATGTTGTGAGGACTGTGGAGACAACAAGCTCTGTGATTGGACCTTGGGTGGCTTGGAAAGCAGCCGTTTCCGTGGCTATGGCCTTTATTCATGCAAGCCATGGGGGAGACGAGAGAAAGAAAGAAACACAGGGCGGGTAGTGTTGGTGGAGCTTGTATCAGTCTCTGACTTATCTCTGCACGTTAGCCCTGAAACTATATTTTCCCAGCCAAAGAGGGATGCACACAAAGACAACCTGACAATGTTCCTTCTTCATTTTCCGCCTGAACTGAACTCCATTCACTCTGTCTTTCTCTGCGGCAGCTGATTATGATGTCCATTCTCTCTTATCAGCTTTGCTCCGGTTGGCTTCTAATCAGCGGCCAGCACTCCACTGCTACTCTCCTTGTACCCACTCCCAGACCACAGCAAATCATTGTTTTGTTATCCTCGACAGTGGCCTGCTTCCTCTTGTTTGTTGTTTGATGTCCTGCTGACTCTGGACAAACAAAACTTGACCAGTGATTCTCGAGTGCGTCCGTCAGCACAATTCATATTGACGAACAGAAAACTTGGATTTGTCTTGATAGATTTGATCTTCGATTCAGATGATGAGAAGTTTGTCTCTTACACCATGTTCGGGTTACATTCACTATTATATAAAATAAAGCAATTTCCTCTCAGGTAGATCCTTATTTTTCAGTGTTTTTGTCAGTAATTGTGGTACAATCTTTATCATTTCCTTTTGTAAAACCATCTCATTATTTCAGTATCCTATTTGCATAGTGAGTTCAAAGAAGGCTCCAATGAACTGATTGGGAAGTGTGATTATACTTGTAATTATATTGATACCTACAGCAAGTTAATGCGATTGTTAACACTGTGAATTAACACCACGGAACTTGGACAATTATCTATGTGATTACATTATGCTGTTATGGGCCAAGTGTCAACACAAACGATGGGCTATCGGTGGTTTGCGATTCTGCACAGACAGCTGCACGCAGGCTCATTTAATGCATTTTGATTCGATGCATACACATTCTGTCCTCCATCTGCACTCCAGAATAATAGAACATGTTTTGGTGAGGGGGTATTAGAAAGAATAAATCCATTCAAGGCAACTCAATGAGAATGCAAGAGAGCAAATGCGTTCTGTTTCATCTACCAAGGTAACAATGCATATTAAAGAGGCAGGTTTTCAAGCTTCTAAGTGTTGACTTCAAAATATGTGTCTGAAAGTACAGACAGCCCCCGTACCCCCTTCATCTTTGTCTCCCCTCGCCTCCCTTGGGTAGATTACACGTTGACAAACATATGGAGAAGGAGTTTGTTGGATCTTTCAGGAAAAAACCCAGCTTTGATGGATAAACACTGAGATTTATTCAGTTTGGAGAACTTGAGGTGAGCTTACGTGTTGCTATCGTTTCACAACTCTTCTTCTGAAATGAAGCTGCAACAGTTTCATTGCAAATTCCATTTCAGTTGATGTGAAGGAATTCTTACTCAATGTAGTGACAATGAAAGGCTAGTAAAACATAAAGGGAGAACAACAGTTTGAAGGGGGATAGGTTGAATAAGGATGATGCTGGGTGTACATACTTTTACTAAGACATGGTCAGTCAGTGGATGAGGGATTGAACTTTAACTGCCCTGAAGAGCTCTGATTTAGTCTGTCTAGACTCTATTTTAGCCAGGAAGAAATGACTTTCCACTTTACTGTTTTGAAGAACAAGCAAGTAGACATTTTATTATATTTAAAAGAAAATTCAGCATTTAAAAAAAAAGAAAGAATGTGTAGACATTAAATAGAGACAAAAGAAACTGAGGAATTAGTAATGTAATACTGGTTATCTTCCATTCTGTCATCAGTAATTAAAATGAAAAGGGAAATCCACAGTTGGGCTGCAATGAAGCATTACAGATAATGGTCCCCTTTTTGAAATAAAATATCCCCGGGCTGGTTGCTTTAAAAGCTGCAGTGTCCTCTCCTCTCAAACATACTATCTGGTAAGAGGAGAAGACAGGAGTAGGGCTGGTAATTGGGGCTGTTCAGTAATAATGTGTTTAGTGTGGGCAGCACTTTCCTCTATGTTAACATGCTGGGCCATTAATTGGCTAATGGAGTATATATGGCAGAGCGCGGGGGTGGTGTCTCAGGAGAAAGTGGGGAGAGGAGTTGAAAGCAGTAGTTGCAGGTTCCCCAAGACTTAAACAATTAGCAGGTGAGGATGTTTGCTTTAGGGCTTATCAGCATATTACAAAGCAGAACGACCCCTGTTTCCGAGACAATATTTATATAATTTGCTTGATGTTTTTTCCTGAAGCTTTGCATATATTAATACAGCTGCTTCAAATGTTTTCAGGCAGTTGAATGGGGATTTTCAGAGGATATCAGCCTCATAAATATAGCATAGGAAGGGCCTGCTACATCTACTTAGGTGCAGAAAGCCATTATCAACTAATAAAATGGTGGATCACCGCCACAAGAGGATGCCAACCTACAATTGTCGTTTTATTTGATTAGAGCAAATGTGGATGTGTGTCCCGTTTCAATACAGAACTCGACACGTTACCTTATTTTGATTCACGTAACATGCTTTACTTACTTACATACATTTTGCTCACTAACACACTTATTTGAACCCAAATCATATTTTCCTAAACCTTCCCAAGTTATTCCCCGAGGCCTCAAACACAGATGCATAGGTCTATCGTAGTTTTTGAATTGAAATATTGGACGATTTGAACCAGAAGCTTGATTATGAATAAATAAGTCAAACACTAAAACACAAAATGGAGCCGACAGTAATAACGTTAATGGCTAAAGCATGACTCACATAGTATCTCATTTGGTATTTGTGATTGTTAATATCCTTTTATTGAAATGCACCTATTAGCTTTATCAATGTCAGACTTCCGAGGCCTCAAAGAGAAGTCACTCTTATAGCTTGTCGCCAGTCTAGCCAAGGCCATTATCTCTCCGAAATGTCAATATTGCCGTTTTTATTAATCTGATTAGTCCATAAAACGCCTCAGGGTTCTGAGATCCCAGCGGACTTCCGTGAACCTGTGGTAACATCATTGTCTGGTCCTTCCTGGCACACATCTGACATCACTTTAGCCAGATGGCAGGTGAAAGGGCTTCTGGGAATTAGTGTTTTGCTCCCCGTGAGGCTTGTTTTTTGTTTCTGACAACTCAAGCTAAAGTGAGAGCACAGCGAGCGAACACAACCGTGCTGTGAGTTGATCATTTCCATAATGTACCTGGTCTGCGACAATTCAAAAATGCACCAAACCAGCTTAGAGACTTCATAATATGACTGCATATCATGCAACATTGCATCAGGCCTCCATCAAAATCTCACCCCGCAGATAATGCTGAGAAAATGGGATTTTGGACAGCTAAAAATAAACAAAGCAGTCTATGGGTAGGATGTGGGAATTGGGTTAATTCGGCATTGAAAAAGGATGATTGTTTAAAATGTGATTACTTTTATTAAAATACACAGACATGGGAGAGAGTGTTAGGCTATGGGGGATTCTAGGTCCAAACCTGTCAATCTTCTGCAGCAGCAGCGGTGGGGGGGTGGGGCGGGGGTCAAAGGTCAGTTATGACCTGAGGTAATAGGGAAGTCTAGCACCAGTGGGAGGTAGCGTGCTTGTATGGTTGTGTGTGAATGTGTGTGTTACCCTACAGCAGGGATACAACATCTGGAACCACTGAGCAGACTGGTGGCTGCGGCCAGGGTCACCGCAGTGGGAGGTCAATTTCCCCCTCTGCCTGTCCTCGGCCCCTCTCCTCTTTTACTCCCCACTGTCCACCTCCTCCCTCCTCCAACGCCAGCACTCCTCGCTCTCATGCAGTTCCATGACTGAGTCTTGTTAGCTGTGGACAGATGGGCATTCACATGGAGCCATTCTTTAAGACAGGAAAGGCCCTGTGAAAGGCCCTGTTGTGTGGAAGTGGTCCCGGTGAGAGGAACGGCACGGAGAGAGAGGAAGGGGCTGGAAGGAGGAAGAAGAGGTCTGAATGTCTCTCTCCTACCTCCTCTTGTTAAAAGACGTGAGGGGTAAAATCTGTGGCTTTTCTGGCTCATGGAAAGCCACACATTTAAATAATAATACTCCTAATCTTCTTTCGCTACAGAGGAAGACATTCTTTTCAGTCCTCATTCTCTGTTTCTCAGGACAAACAATATGATACTTTAGAAGTTTGAAGAGAAGACGTCTGGAAGTCTCTCTGAGTTGCCTCCTTCCTGTTCATTTATTATGCACTTGCAACTCAATATAATCTCATATACAATAAAGTGTCACTTGTTTCTACATATAGGTCAATTAAGACAATTTTACATTTGTAAGAAAGCATCTTTGTCTGAGTTCCCATTCAAAACTTATGAAACATTTAAAATTATCAAAAAACAACATAAGTAGAGCTGGACCAAATCGTATATAACTTTCCTGAGTATACAAATAAACAAACTCAAAATTCAGGAATTTGAAACGGTTCTTTTGCACTAGCATAAGTTGGCCAAATACATAGTTTGGCAAAGAAAATGAATTGGCAATATTTTACACACATTTCAAACCATCTAAAAACTCAATTAACTCCTTAAGAATAAAAACTCTCGCAATTTGAGGGTGTGAAATCTTTCTTTTAAGTTAGGAAATGATATTGAATGTTGGCCTTTCTAGCATAATGGTTTGTGAGATGATTCATAAATAAAAAATAATTTATAACAAACATTTCCTCTTCATGTTTTTTCTCACAGAATACAGGCCAAAAAGCTGGAGCTTCGTGAAAGGCAGGAGAAGGAGAGGGAATATGCTGAGATCCAAGATGTTGTTGGCGGTACCTTCAGCTCAGATGAGGAGCCCACCTATGCTGGCATCGGATCTTTAGACTCGTCGATGGATAGCAGCAGCATGGACCCTTACAACCACCACTACCATCTCCCGCAGAGTCCCCTGAGTCCTCCCCTTCCCATCAGCCATCAGGAAAATGGGCCACCCTTGGAGGCTCTGTATGCCCAGGTCAACAAGCCGCGCAATGGACGCCCTGCAGCTCCTGACAGGTAGGGAGCGCCCAAAGAAAAGGTCCATACACTTACAGAATCAACAGTGAGCTTTGTCACCCACTACCTTTCTCGTTCAGTCACACGTCACTAACTACTTTTGTGCTTTGGAAGAAGTTCATTTACACCTCATCCATAATTTATAAGCAGCGGTGTGATTGCATTTGCTCACTTTGACTTGTCATGGGTGACACACGCCGCACAGAAAAACAATGAATTTCACACAAGGTATTATCGCTGCCTCGTCCCACAGGGGTTTGTCCCGTGCAACTGGCAGGATCCAAAGGCAAGGTAAAACAACAGAAGGAGCCTATCAGTCGTTTTTCCATGTGCTAGAATTTAATATCTTTTTTTTTTCATTATCCTCGGATCACAAGTAATCCTCCCCGGTCCCTCACACACCTTTTTCAAAGAGTCACGATGCATGGGACTTAAGCTTGTTTGCCACTGGGGGGGTTGTATCGTTCATAACCTCCGTGTCAACAAGAATATTTGATGTGATGACAGCGCCACGCAGAGCTTTAGTTTCATATTATTGTTTTCATAGCCTATTGCCGAAAGACCTGTGTAAAGTTATCATATGTTTTTATTTATGTATTTAAGTCCAAACTAAAGTCCACAAAATCAATGTCAATCCAACGTTGGGATAAACAGCAAACAGATGAATAGCCATTGATATCTTCTACAAAACTTTTAATAACACAGAATTTTCAAATCATTCAATTCAATCCCTCCAATCTCACATTCCTCTTAAATCTTCCTCTATCTTAAGATAAGATAAGAAAGAACTTTATTGATCCCAATTTGGGACATTTTTGTGTTGCAGCAGCATAAACAGACATGGCATTGTACAATAAAAATTAAAAGACAAAAAATAAACAAGAAAGTAGAAAATATACATGTTGAATTTAAAAATGAACAATAACAAGATAAGCATGAGTATTTAGAAAATCCAATCCTATCATACACATATTTGACTAAGAGTTGTCATGAGGGCCATAGGTTTCCTGTAGGTCACATCCAGTGGTGACAAGTCATGAGATTTCTATTCCCATGGTCCTCCAGAACCTTTCAGGGTGTTATTAATGGATCGGATAATACCCACCTCCTGTGATTGACAGCTGTCACCTGGGGGCTTGTGACCTTTCACTGCTGGGCTCAGGTGGGGCGGGGTTGCATATGTTACCAAGACAGTGCTTCTCTATGTGAGTCAGTGTGTCTGTTTTTTTAAGAGGATTTAGAGTCTCCATCCTGTAACACCCCCCCGTGACAATCGGAGTAGATATGACAAGGTTATCTGGCCCCTCTGATAACTGGCTCAATCCATGTGCCAATACATCCGGGGCTTAGTGAAGGCCACTGATCCATATGTCCAAAGTGAAGGTAACCTCCACATGTTTCCTGTGGATAGCCTTGTTGTGTCATAACAGCGATCTACTGTAAACCATCCCACTTCCCAAACCAGAGCTCAATAAGAAGCCTGAAAGCTAGACAATGAGGTTGACTTGTAGAAAATGAGCCTGTGTATTCAGATCACAGGACTTTAAGATGTTGGTCAGTGATAGACATGATGCTATTGATTCTCAATAAGCTCTTTGCAGGGATACAGTATAAAAGCCTTTACATAAGACAATCCTTTGAGTGCTTAGTCTGTTTTTTATCCTTCATTGCCGGAGGGAATATTAATAGCAATTTTCTTAATCGCTCACATGTAGAAATTAAAAGACAAAAATGTTAGGCAAGGAACCTTTTGCACAAGGGGTCTGATTGTAAACAGAGGCTTATCACTTACATAGGACATAGTTTTGGATTCTAAGGTTTATTTAGATGTTTTTATGTCCACTTACAATATGGCAGCTGTTCTATATATCTGTTGTGTTTGAATCTTGAAATAGTTTTTATCTTTGATCAAATCAAATCCAATCAAGTTTTATTTATATAGCACATTTATAAGCGATTTTTGGTTGAGCCAAAGTGCTGTACATATAATAAAAGTAGCCTACAGTAGAGACATTTTACAGCAAATACAACAGCACCGATTGTTCAGAATATCAGTATGAGAAAAACGACAACCGTTTTTTTTAGATTGAAAAACAAATACTGCATATTGGTCATTGGGTAGTCTCTAAAAAATCGAGTTCACATAACAAATAACTCCTTATCTTTTCTGCTCACTTGTTTCAGCACTTTTTTAGAAATAAAGAATGCTCACCATCGCAGGTTCATTTCTGCATAAAAAAGCTTATTGTTGCATGTTAATTATAAACACAAGCTTATATTTAGTGGAGAACTGAGCTTTAAGAATTGATAGTGCAGTATGGAGTTGTATTTGCAGGCACAGGATTAGCTTTTTGCGAGTGTTGTGATTTGATTTGAAATATAAGCCGATGTTCACCACTGCATTTTTGTTTTGCACCTCTCACTGCTTTGCATATCTTGTGTATGCCAGCCCGGCTGTATGCCTGTAATGTTTGTCTTGCTGCCTTTGAGATATAATAATAATATGCACTGGTTCTTATTTAGCTCAGAGGCTTTCTATTTACCATTTGCGAAAAGGAGCTTGAAACACATTCACATTCAAGATTCATGTCACTTGCCTACCATAAAAAACATAAACAGTCATTTGCATTTCTAAATTAAAATGAATGGAACTTTCATTGTCAAATACAGCGCCAACAAAAGAGAATTTGCATTAATTTCTGAATGTACCATGTAGCCTATTAAGACAGCAAAATTGGATAGAGAACTTTTTGTTTTGCCATTTAGAGATCCAGTGTGACTTACAATTTCTTTACTTTCTAATCCTGCCACTGCTATGCAACCTAATATTTCGAGCTGCATGACTTCCTGTTTGAAGATCAGGAAAAAGGAAGTCAGTGAGGTTTGCGTAAGGAAGGCTTCTCATTCCTTGCTGTCAGTCAGTCTTCAGTATGAAAGAGCAGAATGAGTTGCGTTTAACCCTGACCTGGATACTGTTACCAGCATCTGAGGTGGGCCCCAGAGAAACACACTGTGATCAAAGGGGCAGATTAAGGATCCCGTTTTAAAGGGATATTTCACGTTTTATTTCCTAGTAAGACATCTGACAGCCAGCCAGCAACTTGTTACAAATCTAAAATCTAACAGCACTATATTAATTTATAAAGTCACACTCCCTAACCTGTTATTCTGGAGCCCCACCCCCCCCACAGTGGGCCCCACCAACGTTTTTTTTTCGAGACTGTGTCTCAGGGCTTCTTAACATTTATGAAACTATTAATGTGTAGTACCAGATTAACGGGAATAATCTCAGCTAACTGAAGATATGAACCATTTTTACCAAAACACAAGTCTCATAAGAAGTGTCTAAATGACCCCTGAGCGAAAAAATGTAAACTGACTTTGGCAAAGAACTCAAGATAAAAGATACCCTTATTACTTATCGTAACTGCACATACAATATATCCGATTAAAGCTGAGGTTCCACAGATTATATAGGTATAGTATCATCATTGAGCGATCCGAACTCGCGACAGGGGAAGTAAACACCGACATCACAACACGTAGCTTTACGGAGCTTTTACGGGAGATCGTCTCACTGTAGCTGTCAATCTGATCAAAATACGTGTCCAATGGCATTAAAACGAGAAAATACGCGGCTGAATCGGTTAATCCAAAGGTCAATAATGTGTCTGTTGCTTTGAAAAAATTATTTATAATCGATAATTCAATTTGTATGTAAAAATCGGAGAAAAAAAGTTAGCCAACAGAGTGTATGCAGCTTCCGGTTTTGGCCACGCGTCACTCTCACTCCTTATTTGGAAGCGTGTTTGTGTGTGTAGAACTTTCCCTTGATTCCATTGGCTCTAGCGGTTATAAAGAGATTTCATTCGTCAAAATCGACCAAAGGGGGGCCAGAGATATGGAAAATCCACCCAAATGACCCCAGAAGTGTTTTTTTTTGTTGCTAAATCTCTCTTAAAAAGGTCAGATTTCACTTGTTTTGCTTCAATCTTGACACAGGGTACTTATTATATGTTGTACTTTGGATTCCTAAAGCTTTTAGTCTACTAACCCATCATCCAAGGGTAGTTTTCACTATAAGTACAAAATAATTTTTGGACGGACACTATAATTTACAGTTTTTTACTGTGTTCAATCTGAATTTTCTTTAAAATAAAAAACATCTATATTGATTCTGACTTTTCTACACCCAACTCACAGGTTTATCATTACTTTGACAACAAAGATAATTAATTTAACCCTTTTAGAAGGGAAGATATGTTCATTTGTTCTGGGAATGTCATTTTCGAGCCTAAGACCTGAAAAACAGGCTCAGGGTTGAACAGGCTAATGCCTAAAACCTGATTTATGACTAGGCACAAGAGTTCTTAAGGGGGTTTGAGAATAGACTCCAGATACCATACCATACAGGAAATATACATTTGTTGATTTCTTTGTTGTTGGTGTACAAAACATGAGAACCAGGTAAACCCATTACCCTGTCACTGGTAGTCACCACATCTCCCACAGCATAGATAATAATATTATATGAGGATATTACCATGGCGTGACGCATCTCCTGATAATCATATGACCTCTACAGTATAAGCGTCGCTCAACTGCACACATCATCTTACCTTGTAAAATTGGTTCCAGGGACCAACTAAGTGAAAGAAAATTGAATTGAAATTAGCTGAGAGCCTCCCTTTATTTTCTGGGTCTTCATTGGAAAAAATACACAGAATGCTGTGAGTGTTGGAGGATGACTACACTCAAACGTACTGTATCAGTTTATTACATCTAAAAGCCACCTAGTCAAACATATGCTTAGTTGGAACAACATCAGACAATGCTGCCGTACCCTGGAGTCTAAGTTCTCATCATGTTGTTTACTGGACATCCCTGTGTGCTGTCATTACACCACAACAGTTCAGTCATAGAGAAGAAGGTTTTTTAGATCGAGTCAACTAATTAGAGACACTTAGGGGCCATTTGGTTGATGTGGGTTGGTGCTCCTT